GGGTGCCGGAGACGAGAGGGGTGCCAGAGACGAGAAGGGTGCCAGAGACGAGAGGGGTGCCAGTCCATAGGGTCGGGGGGAAAAAAAGATGACACCCCCCCCCTCAACTCATCCAGCTTCACACACCCTCGTCCCTTTTAGTAGATTGCATATGTGGCCACCATAAAGCAGAACAGAAATACAAAGCTACGCTCAGCTGATTCATGAGAACAGTTTCAACTCACGAAATAATTGTAATTCTGCTCAGCAAGTCTTGTGATCCCCGCACAGCCCTGCCACACTGCATAGGCAGGAGGGTGACACCAATATTCAATATTGCAACTTTGCAAGCTTCCGGTGTCACCTCTTATGTGAAAGAGCATCACCCCATTGGTGAGGACCTGATCTTCCCCCCTTATCCCTGCTTGGAACACATTAGATCAGAAGCACTTGATTGGTCCATAGCGTAGGACCGCCCCCTCTCTTTCTGTGCAGGGGATTCTGGGACGATAATTATAATGATGGTTTCCCGCAATGATACTAAAATAGATTAAAAGCTGAAACCAGACCAACAGCTGAGCACATGGACGGACTATAATGTATATTGGAGCTGATTTTTTATTTGTGTCCATACATTCCTGAGAGTTACACAGTTCTGACACACAGCACAACCCCTTCTGGCAGGGCAGGAGACCTGATTTTTCTCTGCTTCAGTTCAGTAACACTTACTGGTCTTGCCCCTCCCCCAGCCTGTGGCTGGATAGTGAAAGAAGGAGCAGCAGAGTGATGAGCTCGCCTTTATAAATAATCTACATTTAATGATGCAATCATGAATACTAAAGGGTGTTGTTTATATTTGTGGGGTTCCCCTTTAAGCTGCGGGTGCAGTGAATCGGTCAGTGTTCTGATAATTCCGGCCTGCCATATCCAAGGCGTGGTTGGCCCTGTCGGCACCACCAGGCTCCTTCAGTATTTCAGTACACGTTTGTGGAGCCGGGTGGTGCTGACAGGGCCACCTATGGCTTGAATTTTGAGCTGCGTACGGCAGGCTTACTCTACCTCTATACAAAAACGTCAGCCGAACAGAAACCGCAGCCAATCAGCTGCACTGTTTGAGTATTCAGGCGGGTGAATACAAATGCCAGTAGGGGAGGTTCATCCGTTCATCTTGTTTGCCATAGATTGGGGAATCGAGTGATTTCTGCATGTGTGTGGCCAGCTGTACAGATAATTCATTTCTTCTATCAGTGAAGAAGTCAGGGGGATCCCTACACTATCTGCTGCCTAGGGGAAGGGGGGGCCCGAGGGAGGGGGGGGCCGGGGGGGGGGGGGGGGGCGTCCCGTCCCGCTCACTGATGTCTCTGGTTGCCAGAAGGTGGGCATCTGTAGAAAGTAAATCAAGGCGACTGGACTTGCTGTATTGTTTATTTTTCCGGGTATACCATGACCAGGAGGAGTGAGAACCTTCACAGACACATCTGACCAGTCCCGGCCGTTGGGTTGTATGGACTGGCAACGCCATTTTGTTACATTGCACGTAGAGAGGGAATGATCTTTGCTCACACTTTTCAGCACCTGCTGTCCATCTCATTTGGACTTTCTTCTTTTCGGCAGTGCTCCAAGGCGTATTCCACGCAGTTCCTGGACACGTTTGATGCGCACAATATGGCGGTGGACGCTGTGCGGTGGAATCCGTTTCATCCCAAAGTCTTCATCACCTGCAGCTCAGACTGGACAGTGAAGATCTGGGAACAGAATGTGAAGTACGTACCATTCCAGCTGAATTCTCACCAAATGATCATTATATGGGAGAGTCGCTCTGCACCCCCGTCACATGATCATTATACGGAAAGTCGCTCTGCACCCCCGTCACATGATCATTATATGGAGAGTCGCTCTGCACCCCGTCACATGATCATTATACGGGAGAGTCGCTCTGCACCCCCATCACATGATCATTATACGGGAGGGTCGCTCTGCACCCCCGTCACATGATCATTATACGGGAGGGTCGCTCTGCACCCCCGTCACATGATCATTATACGGGAGGGTCGCTCTGCACCCCCGTCACATGATCATTATACGGGAGGGTCGCTCTGCACCCCCGTCACATGATCATTATACGGGAGGGTCGCTCTGCACCCCCGTCACATGATCATTATACGGGAGGGTCGCTCTGCACCCCCGTCACATGATCATTATACGGGAGGGTCGCTCTGCACCCCCGTCACATGATCATTATACGGGAGGGTCGCTCTGCACCCCCGTCACATGATCATTATACGGGAGGGTCGCTCTGCACCCCCGTCACATGATCATTATACGGGAGGGTCGCTCTGCACCCCCGTCACATGATCATTATACGGGAGGGTCGCTCTGCACCCCCGTCACATGATCATTATACGGGAGGGTCGCTCTGCACCCCCGTCACATGATCATTATACGGGAGGGTCGCTCTGCACCCCCGTCACATGATCATTATACGGGAGGGTCGCTCTGCACCCCCGTCACATGATCATTATACGGGAGGGTCGCTCTGCACCCCCGTCACATGATCATTATACGGGAGGGTCGCTCTGCACCCCCGTCACATGATCATTATACGGGAGGGTCGCTCTGCACCCCCGTCACATGATCATTATACGGGAGGGTCGCTCTGCACCCCCGTCACATGATCATTATACGGGAGGGTCGCTCTGCACCCCCGTCACATGATCATTATACGGGAGGGTCGCTCTGCACCCCCGTCACATGATCATTATACGGGAGGGTCGCTCTGCACCCCCGTCACATGATCATTATACGGGAGGGTCGCTCTGCACCCCCGTCACATGATCATTATACGGGAGGGTCGCTCTGCACCCCCGTCACATGATCATTATACGGGAGGGTCGCTCTGCACCCCCGTCACATGATCATTATACGGGAGGGTCGCTCTGCACCCCCGTCACATGATCATTATACGGGAGGGTCGCTCTGCACCCCCGTCACATGATCATTATACGGGAGGGTCGCTCTGCACCCCCGTCACATGATCATTATACGGGAGGGTCGCTCTGCACCCCCGTCACATGATCATTATACGGGAGGGTCGCTCTGCACCCCCGTCACATGATCATTATACGGGAGGGTCGCTCTGCACCCCCGTCACATGATCATTATACGGGAGGGTCGCTCTGCACCCCCGTCACATGATCATTATACGGGAGGGTCGCTCTGCACCCCCGTCACATGATCATTATACGGGAGGGTCGCTCTGCACCCCCGTCACATGATCATTATACGGGAGGGTCGCTCTGCACCCCCGTCACATGATCATTATACGGGAGGGTCGCTCTGCACCCCCGTCACATGATCATTATACGGGAGGGTCGCTCTGCACCCCCGTCACATGATCATTATACGGGAGGGTCGCTCTGCACCCCCGTCACATGATCATTATACGGGAGGGTCGCTCTGCACCCCCGTCACATGATCATTATACGGGAGGGTCGCTCTGCACCCCCGTCACATGATCATTATACGGGAGGGTCGCTCTGCACCCCCGTCACATGATCATTATACGGGAGGGTCGCTCTGCACCCCCGTCACATGATCATTATACGGGAGGGTCGCTCTGCACCCCCGTCACATGATCATTATACGGGAGGGTCGCTCTGCACCCCCGTCACATGATCATTATACGGGAGGGTCGCTCTGCACCCCCGTCACATGATCATTATACGGGAGGGTCGCTCTGCACCCCCGTCACATGATCATTATACGGGAGGGTCGCTCTGCACCCCCGTCACATGATCATTATACGGGAGGGTCGCTCTGCACCCCCGTCACATGATCATTATACGGGAGGGTCGCTCTGCACCCCCGTCACATGATCATTATACGGGAGGGTCGCTCTGCACCCCCGTCACATGATCATTATACGGGAGGGTCGCTCTGCACCCCCGTCACATGATCATTATACGGGAGGGTCGCTCTGCACCCCCGTCACATGATCATTATACGGGAGGGTCGCTCTGCACCCCCGTCACATGATCATTATACGGGAGGGTCGCTCTGCACCCCCGTCACATGATCATTATACGGGAGGGTCGCTCTGCACCCCCGTCACATGATCATTATACGGGAGGGTCGCTCTGCACCCCCGTCACATGATCATTATACGGGAGGGTCGCTCTGCACCCCCGTCACATGATCATTATACGGGAGGGTCGCTCTGCACCCCCGTCACATGATCATTATACGGGAGGGTCGCTCTGCACCCCCGTCACATGATCATTATACGGGAGGGTCGCTCTGCACCCCCGTCACATGATCATTATACGGGAGGGTCGCTCTGCACCCCCGTCACATGATCATTATACGGGAGGGTCGCTCTGCACCCCCGTCACATGATCATTATACGGGAGGGTCGCTCTGCACCCCCGTCACATGATCATTATACGGGAGGGTCGCTCTGCACCCCCGTCACATGATCATTATACGGGAGGGTCGCTCTGCACCCCCGTCACATGATCATTATACGGGAGGGTCGCTCTGCACCCCCGTCACATGATCATTATACGGGAGGGTCGCTCTGCACCCCCGTCACATGATCATTATACGGGAGGGTCGCTCTGCACCCCCGTCACATGATCATTATACGGGAGGGTCGCTCTGCACCCCCGTCACATGATCATTATACGGGAGGGTCGCTCTGCACCCCCGTCACATGATCATTATACGGGAGGGTCGCTCTGCACCCCCGTCACATGATCATTATACGGGAGGGTCGCTCTGCACCCCCGTCACATGATCATTATACGGGAGGGTCGCTCTGCACCCCCGTCACATGATCATTATACGGGAGGGTCGCTCTGCACCCCCGTCACATGATCATTATACGGGAGGGTCGCTCTGCACCCCCGTCACATGATCATTATACGGGAGGGTCGCTCTGCACCCCCGTCACATGATCATTATACGGGAGGGTCGCTCTGCACCCCCGTCACATGATCATTATACGGAGAGTCGCTCTGCACCCCCGTCACATGATCATTATACGGAGAGTCGCTCTGCACCCCCGTCACATGATCATTATATGGAGAGTCGCTCTGCACCCCCGTCACATGATCATTATACGGGAGGGTCGCTTTGCACCCCCGTCACATGATCATTATATGGGAGGGTTGCTCTGCACCCCCATCACATGAGCATTATACGGGAGGGTCGCTCTGCACCCCCATCACATGATTGATATAAAGGAGGGTCGCTCTGCACCCCCGTCACATGATCATTATACAGGAGGGTTGCTCTGCACCCCCGTCGCATGATCATTATATGGGAGAGTCGCTTTGCACCCCCGTCACATGATCATTATACGGGAGGGTCGCTCTGCACCCCCGTCACATGATCATTATACGGAGAGTCGCTCTGCACCCCCGTCACATGATCATTATACGGAGAGTCGCTCTGCACCCCCGTCACATGATCATTATACGGGAGGGTCGCTTTGCACCCCATCACATGATCATTATACGGGAGGGTTGCTCTGCACCCCCACCACATGAGCATTATACGGGAGGGTCGCTCTGCACCCCTGTCACATGATCATTATACGGGAGGGTCGCTCTGCACCCCCATCACATGATCATTATACGGGAGGGTCGCTCTGCACCCCCATCACATGATCATTATACGGGAGGGTCGCTCTGCACCCCCGTCACATGATCATTATACGGGAGAGTCGCTCTGCATCCCCATCACATGATCATTATACAGGAGGGATGTTCTGCACCCCCATCACATGATCATTATACAGGAGGGTCGTTCTGCACCCCCATCACATGACCATTATACGGGAGGGTCGCTCTGCCCGCCCGTCACATGATCATCATATGGGACAGGATACCAGGACAGGAAGTGGGGAAATCTCTCTAATGGAGCCCCAGGTAGGAGTAAAAACCCAACAGGAGTTCTAATCCTTCCCGAACCATCCAAAACATCAAAAGAAGGTTTTTGGCTTAAAATACTCTGTAACCACCTGAAGATTCTGATGTCCTCAGTGTCTAGGAAGGTAGAAGTCACCTCACCCAGGTCTCACCTCTGCTGCTCCATTAGTGGGGGGGTCCTCAGTGCTCATAGTGTGCTGTGCATCGTTCCCTCCAATTACTGACCCCTGACTTCCTCTTCCAGGACTCCCATGTTTGTGTTTGACCTGAACTCCGCTGTGGGGGACGTAGCCTGGGCGCCGTACTCCTCCACCATCTTCGCGGCTGTCACCACCGATGGCAAGGTAGGTTACCACGTCTATGCTGCTGATCTGTAATGTTCTGATGACTTCGGGACCCGAACATCCAATGTTTACACCAAGGAATCCAAGAAAATGGCGCTTTCTAGAGGAATTCCTACTGAAATAATGATCTGTTAGGGGGCATTAGAGTGTCAGCTCCTCTGTACAGAGACTGGGCAGGGGAGGCATTAGAGTGTAAGCTCCTCTGTACAGAGACTGATGTGACTGTAGGGGGGACATTAGAGTGTCAGCTCCTCTGTACAGAGACTGATGTGACTGTGGGGGGGCATTAGAGTGTCAGCTCCTCTGTACAGAGACTGATGTGACTGGCTCATTGTACAGCACTATGGTATATGTCAGCACTATATAAGCAGTGTGTAATGGGCTGGAGCTTCGGCGCACTGTGTTCAGGTGTCTCGGAGGTATCGCGGCACGGTGATGATTCAATAACGCAGTCTGGAATAATAATGAACAGTGAGGCTGGTGCGGCAGCTCATCCATCATGTCTGAGGCAGATGATTGTCTTCTGGCCTCCGGTAATATTTACACTTCCGTTATAAGACAATATCAGAGAATGGCGCGCTCGCCGGCCCGGGGGAAGATCACATTCTACCTCTCAGCTTCACTCTGTTATTCACCGGCAGGCTGAGAATCTGATTTCTGCCCTCCCTGTGGGTAGAGACGAGTCGGGACTCATCGCCGTCTCTGAGTTCTTCTCTTCACTTTGCTGCTTATTTAAAGTGTACCTGTCATGTGCTAATGTCGGGGAAACCAACAGGTTCACTTTAATGGCGGCCCCACAAGCTGTATATAATCGTCTTCCCTTCCCATGATCCTCCGGGAGCAAAAATAAAGCCTTCCAGGTATGGGCAGGATAGAACACACTCCCCTTTCTCCCATGTGATAGCACAGGTGTTTGGTGATTGGCCTTTCAGGAACCCAACACTGTCCCTTGGGGGCAGGTCAGGCGTCCTCAACCCGGTGTAAACCCCAAGTTGCAACTTAGAACATTTACAGGGCCAAGTCTCCTTACTCCCAAGTGGGGAGGAGGGGGGTATTGAGTGTACTGCTGATGGGGCAGCATTAAAGTGAACCTGCTTCTTTGCTTTGTATTGTCAAAGCACAGGTCCTCGTTCGTTAAATGAGAGCAGCTGTTGTTAAATTGTTTAAAGACCGGACTGTCAGCCGAAAATCTGGGTCTGAACGTGTGAATTGTGGCCGTCAGCGACTAGTCAATGTAAGGGCAGAACGGGGGAGGGGCAAGACTGGTACAAGACTACAGAAGGGTAACAGCGCATCAAATGACTGCAGATCTTAATCGGGGATCCTCTCATATGATCTCTGAGCGCACTGTTCGCCGTACTCTGCATTGTATGGGATATGGAAGCCGGAGGCCGGTTCCAACACCTTTGCTGTCTGCAGGTAACAAGATAAAAGGTCTCCAATTCGCACAGGAACACAAGGATTGGACGGTCGAGCGTTGGAAAAAAGTAATGCGGTCCGATGAATCACGTTTCCAGTTGCATCATGCAAATGGCAGAGTGAGATGTCGCTCTGCACCCCCGTCACATGATCATTATACGGAGAGTCGCTCTGCACCCCCGTCACATGATCATTATACGGAGAGTCGCTCTGCACCCCCGTCACATGATCATTATACGGAGAGTCGCTCTGCACCCCCGTCACATGATCATTATACGGAGAGTCGCTCTGCACCCCCGTCACATGATCATTATACGGGAGGGTCGCTTTGCACCCCATCACATGATCATTATACGGGAGGGTTGCTCTGCACCCCCACCACATGAGCATTATACGGGAGGGTCGCTCTGCACCCCTGTCACATGATCATTATACGGGAGGGTCGCTCTGCACCCCCGTCACATGATCATTATACGGGAGGGTCGCTCTGCACCCCCGTCACATGATCATTATACGGGAGAGTCGCTCTGCATCCCCATCACATGATCATTATACAGGAGGGATGTTCTGCACCCCCATCACATGATCATTATACAGGAGGGTCGTTCTGCACCCCCATCACATGACCATTATACGGGAGGGTCGCTCTGCCCGCCCGTCACATGATCATCATATGGGACAGGATACCAGGACAGGAAGTGGGGAAATCTCTCTAATGGAGCCCCAGGTAGGAGTAAAAACCCAACAGGAGTTCTAATCCTTCCCGAACCATCCAAAACATCAAAAGAAGGTTTTTGGCTTAAAATACTCTGTAACCACCTGAAGATTCTGATGTCCTCAGTGTCTAGGAAGGTAGAAGTCACCTCACCCAGGTCTCACCTCTGCTGCTCCATTAGTGGGGGGGTCCTCAGTGCTCATAGTGTGCTGTGCATCGTTCCCTCCAATTACTGACCCCTGACTTCCTCTTCCAGGACTCCCATGTTTGTGTTTGACCTGAACTCCGCTGTGGGGGACGTAGCCTGGGCGCCGTACTCCTCCACCATCTTCGCGGCTGTCACCACCGATGGCAAGGTAGGTTACCACGTCTATGCTGCTGATCTGTAATGTTCTGATGACTTCGGGACCCGAACATCCAATGTTTACACCAAGGAATCCAAGAAAATGGCGCTTTCTAGAGGAATTCCTACTGAAATAATGATCTGTTAGGGGGCATTAGAGTGTCAGCTCCTCTGTACAGAGACTGGGCAGGGGAGGCATTAGAGTGTAAGCTCCTCTGTACAGAGACTGATGTGACTGTAGGGGGGACATTAGAGTGTCAGCTCCTCTGTACAGAGACTGATGTGACTGTGGGGGGGCATTAGAGTGTCAGCTCCTCTGTACAGAGACTGATGTGACTGGCTCATTGTACAGCACTATGGTATATGTCAGCACTATATAAGCAGTGTGTAATGGGCTGGAGCTTCGGCGCACTGTGTTCAGGTGTCTCGGAGGTATCGCGGCACGGTGATGATTCAATAACGCAGTCTGGAATAATAATGAACAGTGAGGCTGGTGCGGCAGCTCATCCATCATGTCTGAGGCAGATGATTGTCTTCTGGCCTCCGGTAATATTTACACTTCCGTTATAAGACAATATCAGAGAATGGCGCGCTCGCCGGCCCGGGGGAAGATCACATTCTACCTCTCAGCTTCACTGGAGGGTCGCTCTGCACCCCCGTCACATGATCATTATACGGAGAGTCGCTCTGCACCCCCGTCACATGATCATTATACGGAGAGTCGCTCTGCACCCCCGTCACATGATCATTATACGGAGAGTCGCTCTGCACCCCCGTCACATGATCATTATACGGGAGGGTCGCTCTGCCCCCCCCTCACATGATCATTATACGGGAGGGTCGCTCTGCACCCCCGTCACATGATCATTATACGGGAGGGTCGCTCTGCACCCCCATCACATGATCATTATACGGGAGGGTCGCTCTGCACCCCCATCACATGATCATTATACGGGAGGGTCGCTCTGCACCCCCGTCACATGATCATTATACGGGAGAGTCGCTCTGCATCCCCATCACATGATCATTATACAGGAGGGATGTTCTGCACCCCCATCACATGATCATTATACAGGAGGGTCGTTCTGCACCCCCATCACATGACCATTATACGGGAGGGTCGCTCTGCCCGCCCGTCACATGATCATCATATGGGACAGGATACCAGGACAGGAAGTGGGGAAATCTCTCTAATGGAGCCCCAGGTAGGAGTAAAAACCCAACAGGAGTTCTAATCCTTCCCGAACCATCCAAAACATCAAAAGAAGGTTTTTGGCTTAAAATACTCTGTAACCACCTGAAGATTCTGATGTCCTCAGTGTCTAGGAAGGTAGAAGTCACCTCACCCAGGTCTCACCTCTGCTGCTCCATTAGTGGGGGGGTCCTCAGTGCTCATAGTGTGCTGTGCATCGTTCCCTCCAATTACTGACCCCTGACTTCCTCTTCCAGGACTCCCATGTTTGTGTTTGACCTGAACTCCGCTGTGGGGGACGTAGCCTGGGCGCCGTACTCCTCCACCATCTTCGCGGCTGTCACCACCGATGGCAAGGTAGGTTACCACGTCTATGCTGCTGATCTGTAATGTTCTGATGACTTCGGGACCCGAACATCCAATGTTTACACCAAGGAATCCAAGAAAATGGCGCTTTCTAGAGGAATTCCTACTGAAATAATGATCTGTTAGGGGGCATTAGAGTGTCAGCTCCTCTGTACAGAGACTGGGCAGGGGAGGCATTAGAGTGTAAGCTCCTCTGTACAGAGACTGATGTGACTGTAGGGGGGACATTAGAGTGTCAGCTCCTCTGTACAGAGACTGATGTGACTGTGGGGGGGCATTAGAGTGTCAGCTCCTCTGTACAGAGACTGATGTGACTGGCTCATTGTACAGCACTATGGTATATGTCAGCACTATATAAGCAGTGTGTAATGGGCTGGAGCTTCGGCGCACTGTGTTCAGGTGTCTCGGAGGTATCGCGGCACGGTGATGATTCAATAACGCAGTCTGGAATAATAATGAACAGTGAGGCTGGTGCGGCAGCTCATCCATCATGTCTGAGGCAGATGATTGTCTTCTGGCCTCCGGTAATATTTACACTTCCGTTATAAGACAATATCAGAGAATGGCGCGCTCGCCGGCCCGGGGGAAGATCACATTCTACCTCTCAGCTTCACTCTGTTATTCACCGGCAGGCTGAGAATCTGATTTCTGCCCTCCCTGTGGGTAGAGACGAGTCGGGACTCATCGCCGTCTCTGAGTTCTTCTCTTCACTTTGCTGCTTATTTAAAGTGTACCTGTCATGTGCTAATGTCGGGGAAACCAACAGGTTCACTTTAATGGCGGCCCCACAAGCTGTATATAATCGTCTTCCCTTCCCATGATCCTCCGGGAGCAAAAATAAAGCCTTCCAGGTATGGGCAGGATAGAACACACTCCCCTTTCTCCCATGTGATAGCACAGGTGTTTGGTGATTGGCCTTTCAGGAACCCAACACTGTCCCTTGGGGGCAGGTCAGGCGTCCTCAA